CTATCAAAACGCCTGCCATTTGATATAAATAATTGAATGTTCACTTATTCAAAACAGCACCTGAGGCTCAATTCACCATGCATTTAAAGGTTGATGGGATCACCATATGCCCGAAATAGATTGTCAATCGAGAGAGAAATATGAAATAAATAAAAAATCGAAACAAGCAGAAGCAAAATGGTTATATTACCTTCAATTTTGTGATAGTAAATGATAATAAGTAACTAATTTAAAAACTCGTAATTATTACAATAAACTTTAAGTGGTATACGTTCTAATCTGGTCAATTATTTATTTCGAATTATTGAACGCATATAACGAAAACATTTTATTAAAGATAGCTAATTCAATCAAAATTGAGTTCAAGGTCACAATCAAGACGCACCTATTTTATGCCAGTTGCCAATTGGTTCGACAATTCCCGCCAAAGGCTCATTGGCTTCCCTTCTGCGTTTGTGTGTTCACCTTCACTTAAATTTTCTTGTAGCTTTCGGGAGAGCCGTAATGTTGGTGTCTGGTCGCCGCGAGCCCGCTTATCAGGGTATCTCAGAACTTGAGCCTGCTGACCTACCACAGCGACGCCCCATGGGAAGAAACCTCAAGGAGAGGATTACAAACATTGTTAGCATGTACGTTCCAAATGGCCAAAATTTGGTTAACAATCAGTTGAGATATGACTTAGTAGATGATTGGGATGACGCTCAACTGAATAGCCATTTTGGATTACTGAGTCTGGGAGAACTGGAAAATAAGCTTGATTCGACTAAACCAGAATTATGTCACATTACGCCTCAGATTGATCGGGATTCTCTCTTCACTTCAGTTATAGATGAGTTTCAGAACACTAGTTATCATGTTGACCTAGCGTCTTTTAATATCTCTTGCTTGGCTACGGATGGTACGCATATATATTTTGGAGTCGGAAGTCTGCCTTTTCTATTTAAACTCAATGCTGTTGATTCAAATACTGGGAAGCGCTCAGTCACGAAAATTCATCTTAAAACTGATCAGAACGTTGATCTAATTCCTGTGAAGATATGTCTGAATTGTGATTCAGGTGAAATTTACGTGATTGGGACTACGCTTTTTGAGGGATCTACTAAGCATCTTTTGGCGTGTTATTCGAAAGAGGGGAATCTCATTGCTCAAACAAAGAAGTATCCCTACAAACGATATTTGGCGATTGATATTGACTTTGATGGAAATCTTCTTCTGGGATGCATATCTCAATCGACAGAAGAATCTAATGCCAAGAGTAGTTCTCAGATCTGTAAACTTACGCCACATTTTGAGCGCCGAATTTTCTCCATTACTATGCGAAAAGCAGGGACTTCCTACTGTCCCGATGGACTGACAAAATCTTGTGTTCGAGATCAATGTTGGGCCTCTGTTTGTCGTTGGGATGATGAGACGAAGAGGACCGTTCGACGGATTTTCGCTTTTCCTAGTACTCCTCCACACAGTGATCAAATTCATCAAGAAGATGAATCAACTCTCAGTCCTAAGAAGTGGCTCCAAGTGATCTCATGGAATTTTGAATCCTTCTCAGCAGGCTCTGTATTTGCTCTAGACTCCCAACATCTCTTAAGCTTAGATGTTGAACAAAAGAGTCTGGCTTTAATAACATGGCCTGAAGGTCAGGATAACGCCAGTCTTCAAAGGCTAACGAAACCAGGAAATAGAAAAATTGACCATATTTGTGCAGCTTTTGCCCATCCTCCTGTTGCTTACTTCTCTTCAGATGGTGATATCTTCAAGTTAGTTCTTGCATCAATAGAAGTGCCGACATTGACCACTATCTCATCTTAAATATTGTGCCATCTTTCTTTACGTGTAATTGTTTCAATTCGGTTTTTATATTAATCATTTTTTGCGCTTACTCCTACCCATACTTTCTAACTACCCGAGTTGTATTTAAATAATGTCTCTGTTAAACTGAATATCAAATAATTAATATCCTGTTTTAATTTTTGCCGATCCAATTGCTGCCTTCAGGTGAGTCATTTTGTTGCCTATTTTTGATTGGACAAACGTGTCAGTTGCCATATGCTTTGAGGTTCTCTAACGCGTAGTGAGCTTGGTTGTGCTCTTCTTAAAAAAACCTGTTTGTGGCTGTTCTATTGGGGTGAACGCGTGGACTATAAGGTCATCGTTGTACCCCAAGTTAATAAACTTTCTTGTTCCTTTTTAAATTAACTTCTGAAAGTTGTTAATGAAATTCTTAATTGCAATTTGACTTGTTATTTAGTGAAATTTGGTTAATTCTAACAAGATTGGAGTTGGTTGGTACTTTTTCATTACTCAGTTCTTGGGGAAAACATGCAATCAGTTTACCCATTATCCTTTGTTTATTTCAGTAGAGCGCTAATATGGCTTTGGAATCTTTTTATCCCCTCACCGATAACGCTGTTTGAAAGATTCTTGGTTGCTCTTTTCAGTTATCTTACGTCCGTTACTACTGTCTATAATTGTGTTTTTTAAATTAACAGTTAATTATTTAGTATGCTGCATCTTATATCTTCAATCTATCTTCACAATGATAAGAAAGTAGAGGGGGGGGGGGTAGTTGATCCACCTTCGAGACGAGAAATGACCTGGGTGGTGGGGGTGGTTCGTTGGAACTGGTGGGTGCTGTAAACGCGGCGGATACTGTTTGGATTTAAGATGACCAAGTAGGGATAGATGGTGGAGGTTCCTCTATTTGTGCGGTTCAAGCTACCCAAGCAATCTGGTCTCGGAAGTAAAGTGGATCCCATTAATTACAATTAGGTTGGGCTGACTCGTGGAATATTTAAATTCTCGCGAAGAAAGAATTTAGAATTGAAGGTGTTACAGATTTCTGTTGCTCGGTGTCAGTCCTTATCAAACTGGCTAAAAGTGCCCTTCAAAAGTAGTTCTCCTTTACTTCACAGAATCAATTTGAAAAGCCTTCGAACCTTTCACGTTCAACACTTTGTTTTGACTTAGGTAAGTTCAAGTAGGTTCAATGGGGAGATTGCCTTACTTTATATTATAAAGTCCCAATCATTTTCTAAAGCCCACCTTGCGTTCATGGGGACACTACTTTCCATGCCTCTACCACTTCTAGCATGTTCCCGTTAAATTAGAGTCTTGGTTTATTTGAAAGCCAACCACTTCATGTCACTAAGTACCAGACCCATTGTATCCAATGTCAGAAGACTGTGAATTTCTCTTCATGCACAAATAATGCACAAAGGGACTGTGTTATAGAAACCCGTTTCATGGATTTTTAAGGTCAATAAATGGAGATTCCAGTTACTTAATCTGGACCCTAAATGTAAGGCATCACGAATTCTTTTCGAGGAACCGACGTTAAGATTTTTTGAAAACTGAATATTTATCAGAATCCCTAGGTACGAACAGAGAATCACTTTTAGTTTTATAAACACCAATTTTAGCTAAGATTGTTTACGTTGAAAATGCACTGTATTGATTTTCAAGTGCAAAGGGTGAAAATTAATCAAATGGGATTGTTTAATAGTTAAATATGAGGGTTTTTAATTTAATAAAGAATTTAATTAAATAGAAGTATTTTACACAAATGTAAAATAATTATCAACAGACGGTGTTGGAAGTGGAAGGGAAAGCATAATTACTGAGTGGGTGGAACCTGGGCTATGAGAGAGGGCCTGCTACCATGAGATAGAGAAGTTTTCATTATTTCGGGTCTTGTTGGTTGATGACCTAACGATACAAATCATCAAGGGACGTAAGAGCTAGGCAGAGGTATGATTCATTAAATGGAGAGGATTTACTACTCAGAGCACGAAGAAAACTGTTCACAGTTTTAATATCAGAAAGCCACATTAATCGGTTAACAGAACACCCTATGAGTAGTAGGTAATTGAATAGATATGATGTTGTTCATGGCATCTAATATCGGAGGGGCTTATTCCATTTAATATTAGTTTTTTGGTCTTATAGTATTTACTAATTGATTATCACACGTTCTAAAGCTCAAATTTCACGATCCGTCGCCTGAGTTGCAACAAATACTTGCCCACAATGTACAGTGACTATCGATTGATTTCATAATCAAGAGAGATCGGATTTTCACAACAATCCAATTTTCTTCCCATGTTGCAGAAGACATGACCCCAAATAATAATCAATATGCTACTATCACCACTACAGGGATAAGGGGTGCAATTTTTGGGTTAGTGGAGCTTCGTAAGTCAGCGTTATATAGAGTTGTGGCGGATTGCTACGCTAGTAAAGCCTGAATGACTCAGAAATCTCTATGGCAGATACTCTGACTCAGAAATCTCTTTGGCAGATTCTCCTACATCTAGACCGACTCAGAAATCTCCATGGCAGATTCTCAAACATCTAGCTACCGGCTCAGAAATTTCTATGGCAGATTCTCCAACATCTAGCTAGGAATCAGAAATCTCTATGGCAGATTCTCCAACCTCTAGCTAGAGAACAGCTAAGCTATAGCTCAGCTATAAAGAAAACAGACGTGTAGCACGGAGCGCGTTTATATCTGTGGCAGATTCTCCTACATCTAGCTAGACTCCCAGAACGGCAGATTCTCCAACGTCTAGCTAGACTCCCAGAACCAGGGAGATTCTCCTACATCTAGCTAGACTCCCAGAACCAGCTAAACCATAGCCCAGCTATAAAGGAAACAGACGAGTAGCACGGAGAATTCTCCAACATCTAGCTAGACTCCCAGAACAAGCTAAGCTATCGAACCAGCTAAGCTATAGCCCAGCTATAAAGGAAACAGACCGAAACTAGCTAAGCTATAGCCCAGCTATAAAGGAAACAGACGATAATTCGGAACACGTATATTCAGTCACGTAATGATCAGAAAAGTGTGCACGGAGCACGTTTATTCAGGACGTATCTTGCGGATCAAGTACACAGAGCACGTTTATTCAGGACGTATTTTGCAGATAAAGTGTACACGCAGGGAGCTACTCATTATCAGAATGGGGGATTAGGTTAAACAAACAGAGGTTGATGATTGGTCACTGTTTGTACGGTCGCTGCACACAGAGTTGTACGGCCGTACCTCCCAATCCCGGCGAGCAGACATGCAGGCATACGATGACGCACACAGCGATAACGTGTCCCACAGAGTATATCTTCTAGCATATATTTTGACTGTGCCCTGACACCTTAAATACTGTGCCATAACTACTGCTTTTAATTTAATTCAAATTTCAAAATTTACATTTAGAAATATTTCTTAGCTGGAAAGAACACACTTTTCTGTTATTCTAAAAAAAATTGGAGTAAGAACTAATTTAAAGCGAGCTTTAATTTTTTGTGACTTTCCACAAGCGCTCTCTTAATTCTATTCATTTAAATTTGCGATTTGCTAATCAGAGGGGGTGGTGATGGTGTTGGGTTAAAAGGAAGGTAAAATCTTAAACTGAAAATTGATTCTTTGTTCCCATTTATATGAATTCGGTTCATAGTGCGTTAAATTCTGTTTGTGCAAACACGTTGATTGGAATTAAGTAGGTCTTCTCTTTCAAATGATACAACTGCAATCTTGAGAATATAAATTTATTGTATTACTGCTTATTAATACATGGAGTTTACTTTTCCATTCAGACAAATGGGTGCTTAGCTGTGGCAGAGTGAAAATAGATAAGGAAGTAAGAAGGAAAAAATTTATCTTTGTGAGGATAAGGATAGTTTTTGGTTAGCTTACTATCTCGAAAACTATGTTGCTACCATTTCAAGCAACGTATTGAGGGTCTCACATTGAATCCCAGGTCATAGCCAAGGAGTACATTCTGTTATTGTTGCAGTCCAACCATTTCAGTTTTTTAATGCTCTAAAACGCCCTGTTTGTCGTTGTTCCAGAGTAACAGTGATACTGTAAGTAGAGAAAAAGTATTTCTTTCCTTTCCGCGAACAGTTTCTTGCAAATGACAGTTTCACTATCCACTTTGACATGAGAAATTACGCTTTTAGAGACAGGAGTAAATATTTTTTCCGTCTTCAGCTTGAGAGTCTAATAAAACCAAAGACTGCTTTAGTGACGGATTCATCTTAATCATGACTTATTAAAGATTTTATTTTTAGTTCCTCTTGGAAACTAACGTCGCAAAGATGCTCCGTGGAAAGAAAACTGAAGACTGTTATGGCAACACAAGGACGAAGTAGACATTTATTGATTTTTGAGGCATATTAACCAGAAGTATAATGAAATTATTTTTGCCTTTCTTCCCTTAAAATCTTACTTGAATAAATTTCCTGTTTTGAAGTCCTGGGGCCATTTCTAGTTAGACTGTCACTGAATATCTGAATAATTTTCCTATGATGGGCATGCTATGAGAGAGGGGAGGAGGCTGTTTGGACAATGAACATTAATGTTTGTCCACAAAGCATTAATGGACACTCAGTATGGATTCAGCGCCACTTTTCATTGATATATTCTTTCTAATGTGTTATAACTGGTTAGTTAAGCTTCGAATAAATAATTTAGCAAAAATAAAAATAGTTATGAACAGAAAACTCATCCTACCACGATTATAACGAAAAATAGATTGATTGTTGATTATCATGAACGGTGTAGGTTTAGTAAAATTTGTAAGTATCATCAAATAACCAGATATTCACCACTGAGATCCCTTCTACTCTATCATTAATGATTTAATAAATGGATTTGAATTCTGCCTCGACAGTTCGTACTCATCAATGGGCCTGCCACAGAGAAAGAATCACATTTTCTCAAATTACCTGTAGCTCCAGATGGAGAATCAGGAGATGGTGTGACTACTTGGTACTGCTGTCTATGTCCTCTATCTTCCGCCAATCTTGTTTAC